GGAAAGTTCTGAGATTCTTCAAACTACAGGCCCAAATGGAGGATTAAAAAAGAAATAGAAGCAATACTGAAAGAGAAATGGTTGAAAATTTTCCAAAACATATGAAAGCCAACAATCATCAAGCCATAAGTCCAAGAAGTGCTATGAACCATTAGCAGATACAAAGAAAAATAAATCTAGACACATCATTGTCATACTGTTGGAAATTAAAAACAATGGAAAGAGAACTAAAGATACAGTATCATCAAAGAACCAAAAATAAGACTTACAGCTGATTTCACTGTGTCTGGCATTCATTGCATCTGCTGAGAAATCTGCATTTTTTTACTGTTATCATTCTTTATATGTAATGTATATTTATAGTCAATATTCAACTTATATTTATGCACATTATATATGTGTATAATGTATGTATACGAGTCAAAATAAATGTAATTTCAAAGAAAAACTGAAACAATGCCATCAGCAAATTTTTACTAAAGAAAATATTAAACAAATACTTCTGTTTAAAGAAAAATAATTTCAGGTGGAAGGGTCAAAATGAAGAAGTAAAGAGCAAAGGAAAGAAAAATATGTCCATAAATATAAATGTGTATATATGAAAGAAGCATACCATATAATTAATATATACAACAACAATATGAAAAGCAAAAGGCAGTAAATAGATTTAATCAAATGCATTTTTAATAGCTGCAAAAGTGCTAATTTATATATTTTAATATGTTCAGGTTGTGTGTTAACATAGCAACTAAGAATACAGTAAAAACAATATATAATTAACAAGCTAATGCAGGAGAAAAATAAATAATAAAAATACATAATTTCAAAAAAAAAGCCATAAAAGGAGTACAAAAAGTGAGAAAAGGAACCAAGAACATCTGAGACAAACAGAAAATAAATAGTGGAATGGTGCTTTGGTTCATTTCTGAAAATTCTCCCCAGTCATTCTAAGGTATTTAGTAAATGTATTAACAGCCGTATAGTCGCAAACTTAAAAGTATATAGTCGCATTATTCTCTAATTAAATTTAAGCAGAAACATAATACATTTAGGTTAATTCCAGAGACTCTAACACCAAGGACTCTACTTTGAATTATAATTTTTGCTGACAGCAAATGTAACTTAAAGAATCAGGATATAATGTAAAATAACTATAAATCTAATCTGACAATCTACAATTTTGCTTTTCTAAATCTAATATATTTAAAACACTGTGTTAGAATTTAGATCCTTGGGAATTTTATCATTGCAATGGGGTCTTGATATATGATGAAATTTAGCTACTGCTTAAGCAACACTTGGAAATCAAAAAATGACTGCTCTATCAGGAAAGTTAAATATAATCAAAACTTTAAAATATACTAATTAAGCCAGCTCACTATACTCATTTTAATAAGGACAAACAGAGAAAATAAAACAGGCACTGAGAGATAGCTTGAACTACAGAATAATTAATTTTAATCTCTCAGTCTATTAAGGTTATCTTTTGCAAAACCAGTATCATTAGCAAAAAAACTAGAGACTCAAATAATTTAATTAGTAGAGCTGTTGTAGTCTAAACCTTTCATGCACACTGACACATGTTTTTACAGGGTAATAAACCCCAAATGTGTGCATTTGTATTTATACATACACACTCCCAATATTTAATTTTATCCTATCATTTATCAGGGATACCTTATTATCTCTAATGTGTAAATTGAAAATTTAAGATGCAGCCAGTTATTCCCTGCACACAATCACAGAATAAATTGATAACAGAAAAAGGTCTAGGTTTCCAATCTTCTACTGTCCAGTACAGGCTTCTTTCATAATACAGTCTGTCCCAACTTCAACTGAAATATTTCAAATCACAGGGATTCCGTTCAGGATATTCTCTGCCAAATTTAATGCTAAACAACTGGTTAAGTACCATGCTGCATTTTCACAACCTCCAGAATCCATTTTCAACTGTTCTACACATCAAAGCATGAATAGATTTTATACGATGAACAGTAAGACACAAACAATAATAATATCCATCACCAAGACCAAACTCTATCGACATCATGTATTCATCCTCATCACTATAGCATTCACTTAATAAATATTTATCGTTGTACTATAATACACCAATCATTGGTTTGAACCCTGAGGAGAGCTCAGAAGAATTTCATGGTCCCCATAAGCATGAGATACTTAAGGCCTAGAATGGTAAACATTCATTCATTTGTTCATTCAACAAGTATTTACTGCAAGATCAAAAGCTAACTAGACATTGTTAGATGCTGAGAATACTGTGGTGGATTTTTTTTTTCTTATATGATACTTGGAGTCTAGTAGGGAATTAAACAGCATCACAAAAATAAATATATAATTTATATTACATATAATGATTAGTATACTGTGCAATATATAACAAGGCTACTTGCCTTGAGAGTCTGAAAAAGAACATTTGAGTTGAGATCTGAAGGGTGACTAGAAGTCAGCTGAAAGAAGTTAGAAGAGGGGAAAACAAGCAAGGACTGTGTTTTCAGAGGAAACATTATTAGAGAACTCTTATTCTTGCCATTGTGGCAAGAATAAGAGAATAACTTAGATGGTATTGCAGAGGGAGGCAATGAAAAGACGAAATGAAGCTTCAGAAAATATGTTAAAAGTGTTGATGATCATTCCTAAAAGCAATGAGAATTCATAGAAGGTTGTGAAACAAGGGAAGGGCATGATTCTACTTAAAATTAAGAACATCTCCCAACTAGCTTTATAGATGGGTTGAAGAAGGATTGCAATCGTTTACGAGTCCATATGAAAGATAATGCCATTTTAAAATTGGTAGAAGCAGTAAAGTTGAAAAAAATAGATGGATTTGAGAGAAATTCAAGGGTAAAATACAGGACTCAGTCATACTTTAGATGTGGGGATATGAAAATAAAGAGCTCTTAGTTTATGGCTTGTAGGACTGAACGAATTGTGAAGATGTTCCCTCTGATAGGAAATATTGGAGAAGGTCTGGGGTTACAAGGGGGAGAACGTGAATCTAATTTTGGAAATGTTGAGTTTGAATCGCTTTTGAGATATCCAAGTGACAATGTCAAGTGAGTAGTTGAACATCTAGACTGGAGCTTAAGACAGAAATGAGAATATAAATCTGGGAAACTAATATGTAAACAGTAACCAAAACTGTGAGTGTGGATAATAAGACATGAGGCACCTGAACATTTAGACAGATATAGGCCACTGAGTCATTCTGGTTCCAGACTGAGGAACCAGAGAAACAGGACTTAAAGTGCTAAGGGTGTTATTAAGCAGAAGCCAAGAAAGGAGATAAATTTCCAAGAGTCAAGTGTCAGGTGTCAATGCTGCTGTGAGTTCAAAAAGGACAACACATAAAAAATTACAATTCAACAAGATTGAGTACAAAACAGAATTATATATAAAATGCCATGAGAGCACGAAAATGGGCATTAACTCTGGAGGGTCAAAAGTGATACATAAGCTGTGTTAGATGAATGAATAGGTGTTTTTTCCAGGCAAATAGCTGGGGGATAAAAAGGCAAAATTTTGAAAAGGTATAGCTATTTCTCAAAAAGGAACAAAAAGTCTTTATTAGTCTGATGGATGTCAAAAATCTTATTCCTCCCATTCCTTGATAAGTCATCCTAGCCATTTTCAATTACCCTTCTTCGACATTTTAACAGGGCAAAGCAGACATCCTCACATAGCAGTCTAACTTCAATCACTGCCTTCGAATGCCACAAAATCAGAACATGGTAGGGGAGAGAGAAATACAATGTGAACCCAGCAACAAGAGTCGCATAAAGTCTCAGACTTAGGAAATAAAAATTAAGGACTCCTAATTATATAACAGACTAAATACGAAAGTTAAGAGCAAATTTATAATAGAAACATCAAATTAGAATATAGGAAAATTAATTAGAAAGACCTGTGAACACGCAAGGAAAATTTTCCCTCTAGCATTGTCAGCAAGAGGCTTTGAGTCGGATGACCAAAGACCATATTTTAAATAAATAAGGTGTAAAGTGTCTTTTAAAGAATCCACAAATGTTAAATTCCAATTTGTAGAAGATTCCAGTTTCACATATTGATACAATGAACCCAGAATATACAAAATGTAAAACTACAGGGAAATGGATAATCAACATTAGAATAGCTGATTTAAAGCCACGCAGTAAAACTGTGCTTACCCACAATACAAATTATATTGTTCACAAGATAAAGCAGGAATAAACATTTTTTGCATCCCACAAAATTAAAAAAATAGGTGTCCTCAAAGGGTCCCTCCCTTTTGCCATGTCTTAATATGCATGTAATTATCACTGTTATTACTCCGTGAAAGTCTAAATTTAAAGGTAAAAGTAAATTTCTTTATATATATTTTCTTCATTTATCATTTTTGGTTGAGAATGAATTAAATCACAAGTATGTGGATACTATGACGTTGCCATTGTCTAATTAAGGGGCTTTCAGGAATCACATGGGATTAAATATTAGTCTGAAATCACTATTATTTACATTGTTTTCGAGTTTATTCAAGTGTGTTGAAGCATAAATACATTAGGGATAATTAATGGCACGATGAATAATTTCATCCTACCTTGTTTTCCTAACTTTCTATATTGGCTTCGTTCCTTTTTCTACCTCACATTCTGACAAATTTGTCGTCTTTGTTACACAGTACAAGGAGGGAACTGAAAATAAGGGTACTATCCCTGGCGGAGTGCCCACAGCTACAAATGATATTATATAATGCATCCCTTTGAAGGGAAAAAAGAGTGAAGGAACGGTTTCCCTTAGGGACCTGAAAAAGGCCACAGATAGGGATTTTGCTGTGTCTGCTCTGTAGGGCGGGTCCATACGTTTACAGTAGAGAGATGATGGGTGAGGCCTAACACCACAGACTGGTGCAGGATGGGCCCTGGAGTGCGAGGTGACATTACAGGGGGAGAGGCCGGCTGGCAATGTGCAAGAGGGCGGGCACAGCCTGGGCCGCGAGGTAGTACCTGCGCGGGGTCGAGCTCCCCTGCCACTGAATCCGCGATCCAGAGATGCTCCCAGAGAAGCTGCTGGTTGCTGAGGCAATGCTTCACCGCGGATGGCATATTCCCCATGGCGGGGCCGGGGCTGTGCTCGGCGATAGGCGGGCGCCAAAAGAAGAAGGATGCGGGTCAGGTACCGCGCAGCGAAACTGCGCCAGCCCGGGAGCGCGCCCCTCTCGTGCGCGGGCAGCGGGCTCTGCTATGCTACGCGCACTGCGGCGGCGCCAAAAAGGCGGAGAGCGGGACGTGGCCGCGCCTGGGGCACGGGGTCCTGGGGCTACCTGCGGCAGATGCCGGCAACATCGGGAACCCGGAAAACAGATAAAGGAACTGAGTCAGGTGTGGCGCATTTACCACGCAATATCGAGCAAGCAGGACTGACTGCAGCTGCACACCACCCACTTAACCGATTTCTCACCTAATTCAGATCACATGTGTTTTGTGTTGGTGAGTTTGCTTATTCCCACCTACAAACTGTTGCGTTCAGTGTAGATTTGTCCAGCATTGAACTCATTTGAGTGTATGTTTGATGACAAGAAGCTCGACTTTACATATTTTGGGGCAGCTTGCAATGTTAAAACACATATATACAAGTCTAATGAAGAAGATAATATAGAAGGGACAAAATTAGGGAAGCTGTCAGAGATAATTTGATAAGTCAGTAAACAGTAAGTTGATACAAGTTAAGCACTGAAATAGAATTGAGTTGCTTAAGAGATGCATGGCACAAGTTGCCAAAGCCCTATAGGCTAAATTCATTCGAACTGAAAATTCTAAAAGAATTCTTAGGACGTTAGAATAAGTCATCTTTGTGGGAAGGAGACTGAGAAGATGGTCCTGGAACTGACCATCTTCCTGTCTCCCCCTCTTTCACAAGCACATTTACATCACATCGACCCACTCTAAAACTCTTCAGGGTTTTTTTCAACTGAATAGGCATAGCCATCAAGAATAGTCTTGTGCAGCCAAGCGTGCATGGCTAAGGATACCACTCAGCTCTACTGGTTCCTGCAGCAAATAAAAAAAGGGAACTGACTGATGCCCACAGTTGCACAAACATATGAAAGGCTCTGAAGATCACCTTGTGAAACATAGTATAAACAGACTTAAATGGAATTTAACATCCAGAATAAACAAACCATCATTACTACTTGTGAAGGTAGTAAGACGACCATTAGTAATAGAAATCACGGGCTTAGGACAAAAAAGGCAAAGAATGGAAGAGATATCACGTGGCTCCTTTAGAGTAACAGCACTGAAAAGGGCAGGGAAGATGAGGGGAATCTTAGACCTCTCACAGCTTTCATCAATCAATTGTAGTTAACTTGGAGAACATGCTCTGAGCAGCCAAAGCAAACTCATGCAATTATTAGAGTCCTTTAAAACTCTCTAAAGCACTAAAAATTCTAATTGTTACTTATCTGAATATGACAATTTTATAAGAATATATTCATAGAGCTAAATCTCTTATATATTGTTTTCAGCAGAGCTCAACTGTTATTTTCCCACCACAGTTGAAATGGGCATACAGTTTTCATCAATACCTACTACCATTTTTCTCTCCCTATTGTAATTCTATAAGAATTTTTTGAAAGAATTTAAAAGAAACCAATTTGAACAGCAGTAACTTAGTAAGGTAACCATAATGGAGTCAATCGTTCAAAATTGGAAAAAAATTGACAGTTAATTTTGAAGCCTAAACTTTGAAGAATATGATCTTTAAGATAAACCAAATATGTATGATCCTCTGCAACTAAGAAAAAGAACACCTAGAAATAAATTTCACTTCTAAATAGTTTTCTAAATAAAAAAGTTTTTCAGAAAATTTCATATCCCAATTAATTTACCATAGTAATATAACTTTTAAAATATTCTTATAAATATGAAAATATTTCTTGATGCAGTTTATTTTAATGTGTCATATGGAAAAATGCTATAATCTAAAAATTCAAAATATAATTCCTGTAGATAGCAAAACCACTAGCAATAATAAATACAAAATATCTCAAGAATATTTAACCTTAGGAATAAAAGGGAGTAAAAATTGCTGTGCTTTTGCTGGAAAGTACAGTACTACATGAAATTGCAAATCTAAAAAGCTCCAGGTTTGGTGAGTAATGTGCTCTCTCTCCCCATATGATAGATTAGGAAACTTGGGCTCCATCTGAACAGAAAAGGAATCACTAGTTAAAAATCATATGTTAGTGGCATATCCTGATCTACACTCCATATTATTCTCACTGCCTCATAGAACTAAGACATTTGCATTTCATTGCATTTCAATTGTTCAGTCAGAGGAAGATAAAAATTGATTGCAAATTAAGAAACTAAATTCCCTGTTTTCTCTGGTGACTTTAAGTCACTTTTAAGTTAGATGCAAAACATTCAATTCTACCTGTCTCTCTTGAATTGTTCTTGACTTCCATCTCCTTAACTTCTCACTCCAAATCCAATCTGTCAATCAGAGATGTTAGTTACGCATATTGGACCCATACATGGTCTCTCTCTGTTCTTCTATTGACTTCTCTCTGCTGTACTTCTCTTTGAAATGCAACCCATAGTACAGTAGAGGAGAGCCTAAGTGCTGGTTTTAGATTACCTGCAGTGGGAATATGACCTCACCAGTTACTGAGTGACCTTTGGCAAATTCTTTGGCCTTATCTATAAGAGGGTGATGATAAAAGTTCTTACCTGACAGAGCTGTTACAAAGATTAAATGAGTTAGAATACATAAAGTGCTCAACACATGGTCTCTGGCTTATAGTAGGAACTCAATAAATGCTAGCTATTATTACTACAGTAGCCTAGTTTTCTGTTTCAGTTTGCATTCACAAATCTACACCGTACAGCCTGAGCAATTTTCGAAAATACATATATCACCAATACTTCTAAGTTTAAAATCCTTTGAGATTTCTCACAACCTTTGCAAAGAAGAGAGGCAGGTCTCATATCAGCTTAGTCCTCTGTATTTACTAGAATTCTAACTCTAATTTTTTCTATGATTATTGCATTTGCACATATTTTTAAATATATTCTGGAGTTCCTATCTCTTCTAGGAAAGTAAAGGTAGAAGCCAAGAGATGCTGAACTGGACTAAAAACATTAAGTTTAACTCAGAGAGCCTGAGAATTTTACAATATAGTTCTGATATCTTGAGAAATCCACAAGAAAGAAAACTAAACTGAAGCCACATACTCTCTATTCCCACTCCCATTCTTCTCTCTCTCAGTATAAAATGACAACAATAAATTACAGAACTGTGCTTTGCTTATATCCTAAACAAAGACTGTCAAAAACAGAATGGGAGGGGTTCATATTCCAGAGACCAGTCAACTCAAAACTAGGTAGACTGTCCATATCAGTCCTCTCAAGTGCCAAGTCCTTTGGGGAGAAGAGTACAGGTAAAACAGGCTATCTTGTGAGTCCCTTTGTCCCCAAAGATGACTACTTAAGGGTCTGTATGATGGCAGGATGGATAAAATCAGAAGCAAATGTAAAAATCAAAACTGTAATAGTAATAAGTGCCAAAATGGCATGTTGCCCGGGTACCTACTGGGCAGGGATCAAAGACACATGTGCTGAGTCTCAAACAATGATGTCATAGAACTTTGGCAAGTATCACAAAAGTAATATGCTCCAGCCTTAAACAATAAAAAAGTAAAAAACGAAAACAACTTGGTTACAATACTGGATGATATCTAAGGGGAAGCAAAGCTTTCATCATCTCAGTTTTATTGCTGAAAAATTTAGATAACTTCTCACATACGTTATGTCTGGTTGATCTAAATTGATGGGAAGGATAACGGAGTGTTTAGAAAATTCTTGGCATTTGGTCACTAAAATCAAAGTTCGGTTAACAATAGTATTGTTCTGAAATAGAGCATTCTTTTGAGAATAAGTAATGAGATCTATTTTACCAAAGTAACACCCCACCCCAGGTGATAGATACCTGGCACTAGATACAGAAATCAGAACAAAGCTGCAGACCACATTTCTCCAGATGTAGGAGTCTATTCTTTTACTAATTCTGAAGATTCCAAAAGCACTAGCTTTGCCAAAAATATTGTGTAATAAAAGATACAGACATCGACTGTTATTAGTTCATTAGATGGCTGCAGTGTACATAATTTTTGCCAATAGATATAAAAGTATCTTTTAATTCCATTACCTACAAACTCAGACTCTATTTGTAAAATGTCTTTATCAGTTAGTTGATACATTTTGATGGATTATAGTAAACATGACCTTAACAAGTAAACTATATTAACTCTTACCCATGGGCAGTATTATTTTTTTGAATCTGGATCTAGTACCACTGAATAAGAAGACAAGTCAATATCGATTACAAGTACAAGGCACTTAGTGTTTTGTATTGCACATAGTAGGTGCTCAATAAATTTTAGGTTTCTTTTCCTCTTATTGAATCAAATCGGTCCATAATTAAGAATGTATATGTGATATCGCCCAAGTTTTAAAAGGAATCTGTAAAACCAAATTTAATGACTTCTATAGAACACTGGTTTAATCCACTAAAAAGAGTTTTTTTTTTTAATTTGATACTCAATAGCTAATGGCAAAATAAATATAAACAGATATGTAAGATATGCCTTCTTGACTTTAATGATTTCATATCCTGGTGGCGACATCTGAAGAAAATTAATTGGAAATATTAGATGTAGCAGACACATTTTAATCAGAGAAATGTAAAAAATTAAGTGCTAAAGTTGTATAATCTAGATAAAACATTATTGCAAAATTTGCATGTTCATTAAATGTTTATTGAGTAATTAATTATATGTAGTTACTATTATGTAGGGCACTACACTAATATGTGGGGAGTAATGGTGAACAAGGCAGTCTTAACACACAAAAAACTTTAATTTAGTAGTGAAAAATAATGTTGTTCAATTATCTACAACAGAGCAGTGTGTTGATGAGTGCCAAGTGATAATATAAGTTGAGAACCATAGAAGCATAGTGAATAGACTCTACGTTCAGCTGGGAAAATAAGAGAAGATATCAGGAAGGAGGCCACATTTGAGAGGGTTGGGAAGACTAAGCCTCTCACACTGAAGGAAAGGAACGGAGGAGAGAAAAGAAAGATTAATTGATAATAGGCTGCATTACTACCAAGAACTATCAAGACATAGAAATAACTTTCAAAAAAAAAATCTTCATTAAATAATCTGAGTTGACATTTTTATCTCCGTGATTATTTCACTGTGA